AGGTAGCTTTATCGATAACCTTGCCTACTGCCTAAGCAAACTCGGGGAAAACAAGAATAGAGCAAAACCAGCAAAAGAAGACACCTGGATCAAGGGTCTACAAATTGCAAGCTGACAAAATAACAATCCATTTACCTAACTTGCAATTTTGGAGTCGCTACCTCTTCATTAAGCTTTATTCAAATTTCCCGTTGTAACTTCTCTAGAATATATTCTGTACAAGATTCCAGTTAATTTTTAATGGGAGTCCCCTCGTGCTATTTTATAAAACCGTAACCAGAGCCTTTGTCCTAAAATTATATTCACTTAGGTAAACTTACATTATAAGAGTATATTGCATCACATCTATTTGGCTCTATTTTGTATCTCCCGGCTTCTTCAGCGACCTGCTAACGTCTGAAGGCCTTTTAGCCAACTTGCCAGTTCCACAGCTGGGCATCCATTGCGACGGCACTGATGCTTGTGACGAGCCCGAATTGCCAGCTAGCCTAGCTGGCCGACGTAATTCCTTGTCTTCAGGGTATTCTTGGAATGCTACAGGTGCTCCGGGTCGGCCATACTTCTGGGCACAGCGACTCGCTGGTCTACCCTGTCTTCCTTGCCTTGGTGATGAAGTAAAATCAAACATAGGCCGATCTAGCCAGCTATCTGGACTTGCTGAGCGCCGATCTGGGCCACGACCTCACAAATCTCTCCACTGTTTTCGAAATACAGCCTCTATGGATAATAAGGTGTCACATATTGCTGGAGTACCAATAGGGTTAGAAGTGGATAATGCTTGGAAAGTGGGTGATACTAGGCAAACTGTTGATGTTCAAGGAACTATGGACCGGGAGAACCAGAAGCAGGAAGACGAAGGATCCAGCATTCAGGCGGCTGAAGTTGAGGAGGACGAATATGAGGATGAAGTTGAGATGGAGGATGACGAATTAGAGGGTGATCAAGATGATGATTACAATGCTGGCGGGCATGGAGGTACATCTAAACGGCTGTGTAGGCGAAGAGATCGTTTATCCAAGGGGCGATCGTGTATGGATAATGAAGTCTTGGATACCTCCACATCATGCAGGTTTGGCCGAGCCCAAGGCCTCGTCACCTGTCTACAAGCGAGATTGGAAGCTCGTATTGAGTTAGTTACTGAGGTACGCCTGCCATTTGTGCTAAGGAGGGTTGGTTGCTTTATTGAATAACATTTTTTTAAAATTGAGACGAGCTAGACCTTGAATAGGCTAAAGGGCTTTATCATCACAGGATTCTGTGATAGCATATAGTACTTCGCATCTTCACTCATTATATACAATTAATTGCTAGTTGTCTCACTATCTTACTAGCTTCCGCCTTTTTAGATAGTTTATTTCAAACTCACAATCCGGGATGTGGTATAGAAATATATCAAAAGGAATTATAATCCAAAGGGATTTTCCTTTATTTCTCATTGGCTCCATATTTCAATTGGTAAAGAGTTATGATTTGTCAATAGGCCAACAAGTTACATCCTTAATGAGGTTCATACCTTAATGAAGAATAAAATTCAAAAATTTTCTACCGCAATACCGCGGGATCAAGTTATACCTGTTATGCCACAATAGCAGGAATTGTTGGATTATTGTGCATTTGATTCTGTCTTATTTTATCCATGTAGATATCTGAGGCTACATTTACCTTTTTGATTTGGCACTTTATAGTTTTTATGGGCCTTTTACTTTGTCCACACTATAGGATATCGCCATGATTACGTCATTTTGTGAAAACATTTATATTCGCTTATCTCTAGGGGATTTTGTGATTGAGTAAGGTTAATCTAACAGCTCATCTGAGTTGGGTGCAAAATCATATATAAACTGTTACTATATTTAAAAGCGGGTTAGGAGAAATCATATAAGATAACCATGCATTTGTAGAACTTAGTTCGACTCCCACTGGGGGTGTTGATAAGACCGATGCGAGGTCGAAACTGCATTCCACCCTGGATGAGAACAACTTTTTGGAAAGCAAGGATATGTAAAATTCAATGAAAACGTCAGCTCTACTCATATCATTGTGCGAAAATTCCACTACCAGTCCTTCATCACCCTAAAACCAAATAGGGTGAATACATCTCATATTAGTTCTGGAAAGTTGAACTGAAGATAATTTGGATTCCTATTACCTACAGTTTCCCTCAGAGTCTCTTAGATTTCATCTAAAGGCAGCGGCTATTGGCGACCCTTAACATTATTGAATCAGGTATTGGCATCGGATTTTCATACTTTCTCCTGTTTGTGCATCAAAATTTGTGTCAGGAGTGTTTTCCACTCTATATTTAAGAGTACAATGGAGATCGAAGCGCTTTACAGTGCTTTGATAGATATGCATGATTCATAAGCACAGAATTCTGGAATTAACTTTCTGTGCTCCTAAGAGCAACAACAGTACGCAGTAAGTCGTAGTATGAGTGAAATTGACCGCGCAGCAGCTCTTTGAAATTTTAATCATCTAATTGATCATAAGTAAGGTCGTTGAATACTGGCGTACTTTTCAATTCGCTCGAGAAAGCGGGTGGAAGAGATTAGTATATTAGTCTAACCGGATACAAGAGGGTTGCCTTTAACTTATGACTGTTGAATCGTATGAAGAAGACCATTCTGCCATCTATAGGACTCAGTGATGAGCTTTCGTCTGTCAAGTAACGAACATCATCTGAGACAAATACCATTATTTGCGAACAATCACTAAAAAAAAACCAAGAAAGGTCATCGCGGTCGCAGAACGATGAGCCGAGATCTTCTTCACTCAATTCAAAGGTCACAAGTCCAAGGCAACTCTCCTTCGGTATCCGGCGCGGTCAATTTACGAGTAACTTCTATCTGCCTTGTCAAACGAAATGAAATGTATGCTAGTATAATTTTACTAAGGAATTATTCGAAACCCATTTTCTCTTCATAGGTCAGATGGTCGTTCAAAATTATGTTAAAATTAAGAGCATTCTACAATCGATAAGCATACATTTTAGTGGTATAGTCTTTGGGAGGATTTTAAAGATGGTAACTAAGCTTTCATCCAAAGTTAAACTTAAAGGTGTGGGAAGTTGTAAAGTCTAAGCAGAGCCATTTCTTGTAATGGTCTCGGTTGACGACTGGGGCTCATTTGAATTTTTCATTTAGACATGTGCTAAGTTCCTCTTGACTTATAAAACCCTATTCTAATTTCAAGCATGCGGAGTTGAATGAATGAAAAACCTGAGACAAAAATGGACCCATTTTGACCACTACACCAAATATTATGCAAAATTAAAGCATGTATCATGTAGAAAAGTTGGGTTTCTACGATTGTTTTTATAAATTGATATTGCAGTGTATTTTAATTCATTTAAAGATGCGAGTGGGAGGGATTCGTAATTTGGCCTCACCGGAAGCTGAAGAGGAAATGCCTTGGAGCTGTGACTATTGGTCTGCCCAAATAAGTCCTTGGCTCATCGCCCTACGACCCCGATGTATCCTTGCTAAGCTTACGTCCGTCGTGTGACGGAAATCACAAGAGCTGGACACCATATATGGCGATGTCCCTCGTGACGGATGAAAGCTCAGCAAGGTTTCAACGGGGTTGCAAGGCGACGCACCGAGGACTTATTTGCGCAAGTCTACAATCGAGCCTCCGATACAATCTTTATTTAGCTTCTAGTGGGGCCAACTTACGAATCTCTTACACTTGCCTCTTCAAACTAAATGTAAAGTACTCCAACTTCAATGTTATTATTACCATTTTTCTTCATCTTATACTGTCGTCATGCTTAACATTGTCCTACCATTTAGACCATATTTCACACGGTTGATAGAGCTTGACATGCATATTTTAGGGTTTAAGTATGGTGTGCATTCAAAAAATGATTCAGACAAGGGAATTATTATAAACTATAGAGCTACTCACTTTTATATTACTAAGAGACGACTAATAATTCCTTTAGTTCATGCAATTTTATAAAAAAGCTATTATGACTTTTAAATAAACCAAATTACTAGTCGAGGTCGAAACTGCCATCCACTCTGGATGAGAATACATTTTGGCAGCTAAGGCTATGTAAAATTCAAACGCATCGTGAGGTCTATTCATATAACTACGGGAAAATTTACTTTAAGTTCTTCATCTTTTAAGGAACTTTGGAGAAATACACTTTTTATTCAAGATCTACTCATAGTCTCAAAAATCGACTCAATTATTCCGAATTTTGCTCAGCTTATTTTTACCGAGGCTTATCCTCCAATTGAATCATTCAGCTGGCTTCTCTTGAGCAAGGTGTTCTACCCCTCTCCGAGACTGAACTCGCCAATCTGCCTCCCTTAGGTGAATTAAGAATCTCTGGCTGGCGACGTTCTGATTTCCACGGACTTAAGGTAAGTATGCATAGTTACTTTCTTTATGTTGTTGGTGGATTTTCCATCTAAATAACTACTTTTTATTTCATATCTCAACGTGCAGGATATATTATTTTTTGAAGACTTCCAGTTACCAGCACTTATGATATATGCCACTTAACTTTAAATCTAGCACTATCTAAACATTTTTGATTCACAAATAACTTGAGAAATTTCTTTCTATTCATTACAAATCCTCTTAAATTTTTTTGTAATCTTCTAACAGATTATTTTAAGTGGTCACCAAGAATCACTTTGAAAGATACAAAAATAACATGTATTATCATTTGAATACTTTATACAGGCAAAAGCAATTTTGGTCATATATAGATCCTTCCTTTTATACTTTATGATCAATAGGCTTAATCTCCCATTTATGCGAATTTTTCATTTTGACATGTTTACTCAAATGCTTGCATTCTGGATTGGATTTAATTATTAGTGCTTAATGTTTTCTTAGTTTTTTTCTGCCTTCTAGGGCTTTCGGTTATTAGTGATTTCAGAAAATTAATACTAAAAGTGGATAGCTAAGATAAGTGTTTATGTCTATTGTAATTCATAATTAATCGAATTTTGATCTATATTTATTGTAATGGACCCTTATTTCTATTACTATGAACATTTACTTTTCTAAGTATGCAGCCATGCGAAAGGCACTCGAATATCTTTTCAAAATTGCATCTATTGAAGAAGAATGAAGATAATTTTCAAGATCGTAGATTTGAACGCCAAGATGCTGTGACTAGGTTTGGTCGCAGTATCCTTTAGCTGTATAGTCTTGGCTTGACCTAGTTTTCACAGCTTGGTCCTAGCGACAGAGATACCTTGTGGAATATGCTTAGTCTTGCGTCTCCTGTCATAGTCTTCGTGTTAATTTCCAGCATCAGTTCGTTGACTTGATGTATTTCAAGATGTCGGCGAAACGTCTGAGAATGTACCAAGTCAATGTTCCGATGTTGGAAATTATTATGAGTACTGTTGTAGAGGACGAAAGACTAGTTACGTTTCACGGGTTCTG